TCCTGAAGATTTTTATTGAGGTCTCAGCTGAGTCTTGAGCTCATTGCTGAGTTGGATTCACCACATGAATGTACATTCCCAGAAGCCTGGGTGTTCAAGTGTGTGTGTGTGTGTGTGTGTGTGTGTGTTTGTGAAACTCTGCGCGTGCACACATAGCACAGTCAAACCACCAGCAACGGGCCCACGGGCATGCCACGGGCCCGCCACAGGCTCACGGGCTCACGGGCCCGACCCCCGAAAAGACCATGGCCCTGTCGACGAGCAAATCAAAACGTTCAGCTTTGTCTAGGGACTTTGCTTGAGGAGCTTCTTCATTTGCTTCTCACGGCGCCCACTGATCGCCTGAAGTCAGAGCTGCTGCACCATCCTCCTTGCAGAGACTGCGCTGTCCCAAGCCTCAAGGCCCGCGATCCGCTGCTGCAGCTTCTGGCCTCAGCCCGGTCTTCACCATCTTCCATTCCCTAGAGGAAGAGCTTCCCTTCCAAGCTCCGTGGCTTTTCGCTCGAAGCAAGACACATTCTTCCTGCTCAAAACTGACGAATCGTTCACTGTCTGCCGAGAAGGGCCAGGGCCCCAAGCCAGAGACAGACCTAGCTCCCGTTCAGGGTTTGTCCCGTGGTTGTGTTGCTTCATGAAGAGCCAAAGCATCCAAACTTGGGCCACGATGGTCGCGACTGCTGAGGGTGTCTTGCCTTTCTTGTCTCGCCAATTTGAGCCGCAGGCCGGCAGGATCCCGCAGGTTTGTTGTTCATGTCTTTGGCATTTCTTACACGTTGCCTGCGTCTGCAACTTCACCGGACCCGGCCTCCACCTCGGAAGATGCCTGCACTGTGTCACACGGTGTCACGTCAATCTCCCTACATTGGGCGGTTCACTTGAGAGCTACATTCGGACCTGAGACCTTGCCGAGGGCAATGTCGATGTGGGTTGCCTTGCTGCTCACATCACTCTTGATATGCGACTTGGCACTTGCGCTCCCAAACTCAACAAACGTCGAAAGGCAAACTTTGGACCGTTCAAGCTTGGATTTCCGGCTTCTGCGATCCCGCAGGACTCAAGCGATCGCCTGTCATTCTAAAACACTTGCAAGTCATTCTCCGGGTGGGAGCCACCAATGCGGCGGGAAACCCAGACTTGCAACAGCAAAAGCTTTCAACGGCAGGCTAATGCAAAAGTGCAGTGCCCAACACTTCTGAACGCACGAAATGTGCATCTACCTCCTTGGTTCTCGTCTTGAGTCGCCTGCGCATGGCTCAAACCGATCGGAACATATCAAAACCACTTGTGGCACGCAACAGGAAGTCATGTGTTGACTTGCGTGGCCGTCTGGGCATCTGCCGAGCACCTCCATGCCTTGCAGCACACTTTGCAGAGCCTTCCGAGTTCAAGACACGATGTGGAGAAGCGGAATGCTGCAATGCAACCCACGCATCTTGTGAAGGACAGTCGCGGAGAACTGGCCCTCTGGATTCGAACGCAGCGTATAGAGTCGTAGAGTGGAAGAAGCGTATGAAAGCCGCCTTCATCCACATACCGATCTCCGTGGCGTCATCTATGTGCAAGTCCACCTCTGCCGGATTGTGACTGTGGCGTTGGATCTGCGGGACTACGTCCAGCCGTCAGCCCACCATGACAGTGGAAGAGCAATACCCCGGCAATGCTAAGCAACCGACGATGAGATGAGGTGGTTGTCCGGCTCTAGCTTTTGAGAGAATGGACACCTGTAAGGAATCAGATTCACAGAAAGATGTGAACAAAGTCTGGGCAGGTGCATGCACGCAGACCCTGGAATCAGAATGCACTCGGTCGGGAACCAGGCCGAAGTAAGAAAGGGCTCCTAATGATGCCGTTACCGTGTTAGCGGCGACGGATTCCAGCTGATACTCCGATTCAAGCAGCGCTTGCATCTCCAGCGCCCACGACATTAGAAAAGCACCATGCACTTGCACACCATCGGAGCTCAAAGCACAACCGGATCCTGGCTTTCTAGTCACCGTCACCCAGCGACCTCAGAACCCCTTGTATCCCGAGTTTCGCCATTGGGGGCTTTGGGGCCTACCTGTGTCAGTCGAATCGAATTCGAACGGCAGGCCTTTTCCTCATCAGAAACCGCAGAACCTGGACCATGGCCAGCTGAGGGTTGGTCGTGGACGAGGGTGAGCAGGCCTGCTTTCCTCAAATCTAAGCTCTTCCTCTCGCCTGCTTCAGGTTTACAACGCCGACCGCACTTTCTCACAAACGCAACTTCTGACCCATGGTTTAAGCAACCAGCCCAAACGCATCTGACCAGTCTGCAGAGATGCCTCAGAAACCACAGTGCCATTGTTCTCTTCTGCAGGCTCCCAAGCCCAGTGTCTCTCCCTTTGGGGCAATGGCCGTTTGAAAAAACAGCATGGGCACTCCGACACGGAAGCCTCGCCAGAGTTGAATGGGCTGCCCGTTGCCGTGAAAGCCGTACTCCAGCATGAAAGCAAGAAGATGTCCGAGTGTCTCGCTCACTTGGCACACCTTCGAGGCATCAAGTCACAAGAGCATTCTAGGTTCTCAATATGCTCGCTGGCAGTTCGACCATACCCCGGGCCCTCGGTGCTACAGTCTAGATTCTACACAGTGCTACGTTCAGAGCGAAAAAGCAACCAGCTCCTTGAAAGTCTGTTGTTTGTCATTTACCGTTTACCACGGAAGCAGAAAAAGTAACCCAACATCCACATGAATAAGTACAACAGCTGCTTCCAGTTACGCGTGCTTGCCATGCATCATGGGTACGCTGTCACGTCACGATATCTGAGGGTCGACAAGCAAAGAGATTTGTTCCTGCTAGCACGTATACTTAAAGTATACGTGTCGTCGCAAATCTGTGTTCAATCCGTCGGCCTTTGGATCTTGTTGTGGAAAGGCCACCACCATGGCCTGCCCCAGTTTGTCGCTTCTTCTCACATTGCTACCAGTAGATTGCAGCATCAGGTTGCGAGATTGATTTGTGAAAACACGCCTGCTCGAGGAGCCCGCTAGAGGACCTGGCAACGACTTCGACATGCGGCTGACCGCCATCTCAACATGTCGACAGCTGCACTCTGGAGCAGACGATATGAATCTATTAGTATCAATCCCTGCCAGCAGAACTCGTCCGGAGAAGACATGCCGACCACGGAGTCAGTGGACTACCGGAGGCCTCCGTGCCCGCATGTAGACACAAACATACTGCCATGAGTGAAGACTCTGGGGCTGCAAGAAAGCTCGGAGTAACATGGTATAGCAGCATAGCATTGAGCATGGCACCGACGGAACGCGGTCCATTTAGGGAACTACTTGCGACATCTTGGGTCTCTGAACCCTGCCTCGGCTGTCCGCCACTTCGAGGACAAATATGTCTAAGCGTTCTATGCATGCACAAATTCAATAGACCTACTGCTGGCCGGGTGTCACGGGTATGTGGCAAGGTCTCGACAGCAGTATTTCCACTGCATGCTGGACGACCTTTGTCACTGTGCTCCTTGGCGGTAGAGCTCTTGAAAGTATGTAAATAGCATAACTACAGCGACGCGTCCATGTCGTGGAGGAAAAGAACCCACCGGACGCCGCTTCCCACTGACTGGCACTGTCTGAACCATGCTGCAGGACCGGTGGCATGTCTGGTTTGATTTTCCTGGATCGTGGCCGACGAGCCGATGGCAGCAGGTTCACAAATCGGCTGTCCAAGCCGATAGCGTGGTTGGGTTACTGTAGATGCAACGCAAGCTTTTTCTCTAGGTGAGGGCCGCCACCGCAACGGCACTGGAGCGCCTGACATGTGCAAAGCAACCTAGTGGGCCTTTCATGGCCTTGTGCTGCATCTGACCTCTCTTGCATCGGTGGCAGAGACAGCCAGCGACCAGAGCTGGGGTCAAAGCACTCTGCGGTCCTCCGACGAAGGTCTGATTCAAGCATATTCAAGCCTTGCTCCGCGCTTGGACTGCACTTGTCCTGAGGTCGGCATCACCATCGAACCCTCCACAGACCTGGTGAACCCGACAAGGCAAAGCCAAACGATGACATGTGCTTGACGATGCTTGACGACCCCCCGAGGCACGTAGAGCCGTCCGGCGATGGTTGCGATTGCTGCTCGATCTCTCCTCTGAGTCTAGCATGTTTAGCTTCACATGCTTCGCTGTATCTTCAATGCTCCGCATAGCTGATCAAAATGCACCTCTCGCTCATGGGTGGCAGAGCTTCCCACACCTGGCTAGCAGTACCAGCCCAAAACGCAGCCAGCACGAGCGCTGCAGGAGCATGGACTACCTGTGGGGGGAGTTCCAGGATTCGGTAGTATGCCAGCATGGTTGGTCAAATGTAGCCGCTCGGCCAACCGGCCTCCGTGCATCAAAAAGCGAGCGATACCAATTTAAGAAATTCAGGATACCCTCAGCCTGCTCGGCGAAGTTGTTTTATGCTGAGCGTATTCACAGGGCATCTCATCCTTTCAAGCAAACCTCGCCGAGGTGCCACCCAAACTACAACACTGACTCTGTTCATAAACTTTCGATTTGAGGTGGTTGATGTCGTATTTCAGGGCAGAGGCCTGAAAGCACGCACAGAGGCTTGATTTATCAAACTCAACGGCTTTCCGATCTGGGCACCTGGGAGGCTTCGCAAACGGCATGGGGCTTTGCAAACCTGCCACACACCTTTCACCTGGGCAGGCCTCACCGAAAATCCATCACAACAAGAACTAGACATGCGCCCGCTCGAAAACCATACCAAAGTAAGAAATTGAGCTTGAACCGAGGGGCTTGGCATCTTAAACCCAAGAAACGCAAAAAGAGCTGTTTCTGATCAAATTGATCTTGCGCTGTACTGGACTTTGCACTACCTACCTGGGCGAAGCAGCTTTCGAGGCACTGCGTCTGTATTTTGGTATACCGTAAAGTTCTGAAAGCTCGCACTCAGTGTCGAAAGGTAGCGGGCAAGGAAGGCTCAGTCCGAAAGTTTAGGATTACAGCACACTACCCTTTCCAACTAGGGCTGACTAGCATCCTGAGGCTAGCACAGCCGAGGCAGGATTGTATCGCTCAGCTGAGTCGAGACGCCTGGGCACAGTCTTATCTGCCCCGACCCGTGCTGAACTTGTCAAGTTTCTGAGGCGTTGTCTGACGTCCATCCCATCCCCCACAGACATAGAAGCAGCCCGCAACGGAAGCCGCCTTGGAATAGCCGAAAGCTGATGCGGAGTGTGGCCTGTACAGCACACAGAGCTTCCTCGTTAATTATGTCGCATGTTGCTGGCAAGCGACAGCAGCCCCAACGCGACGAGAGAGCATCGGTGGCAGTGCCTGTTACCGGACCGCCACACGGCAAGAGCCACCCCGCTGGCCCGCTGCCGCTGCCCCCGCCTCCCAGAGCGAGCACTTTGGATCGTAGCCTGAGGATGTTGTTCTTCCACATGGTGTGTTCACTGCATGCTAAGGCTGCTAAGGTCCTGGCATTCGACAGAGCTGACAACTCGGGCATCATCCTCGACATCGTGCAAGCCCTCCACGGTCAGACTGCAGCTTAACATGACTTACCAGGCCTCGCTGCCAAAAACGTACAACTTACCCGAAATAACTTCTGCCGCACCTTTCACTTGCTAGAGTCAATGCTCAGTGCACGATTGCAAGCACTTCCGCTGAAAATCGATGCAATCTCTTGCCGCAGCGGTCGTCACTCTTCGAGTCGGGTAAGGCCACGGCTTACAACACGCCTTGCAAGCATCGGCGGGAGCATGTCCCATCTCTTCTCCTGCGACAAGATTCGAAGTGTTGGCCCTTGATCCCTTACGGTACGACACCCTTACAACAGCATCTCGCGGTGCCTTTGCGTTTATGTTCATCCCGATAATCTGTGCGGTCGAACGTTCCCTAGAGGCATTTGCAGCCCAAGTTGATGCGTTCATGACATAGATCATGGCTTCGGTAACAAGCCGCTCAGCTCCCGCAGGATTCCAAATCCATCAGGGAAAAGTCGCATCACGAATACGCAAAGCATCGAGCTGCTGCAAAAGTCGCGAGCAAATTTCTTCGAACATTGAGCATTGCAACCCGACAGCTGCCAAGCATCGCCGGGTCTATCACACAAGTCCATGCTGCAGGATCAGGCGGCAAATGCTCCTGCGGGTCATAGCTCTCCGCAAAGTTCAGCTGCCCGGCACCTTGGCGCGTGGGAACAGTTGAAAATGCATCTGACTGTCGGCTGGCTTTTTATTTCTGCTCAAGGTACCATCGAAGCCGCCACAGATGTAGAGCTTCGCAGCCATCACGACCTGAGCGCAAGTCGTAAGTAGAACTCCCGAGTGCGCCTTGCTGTTGAAGCTCAGCTGCTGCAATCGCCCTTCTTCGACGCACCTGCATTTGCGGGAGGCCTTAGCAGGATCGACACTGGCTCCCTCGATATCCCCTCTTCAGTCTTCAAAGCCCTTGCTGCTCCTCTATACGCCTCCCTTGAACCCAACCGTTTTTTCTGGACAATCAAAACAGTCCCACCCGAGATTGCTCTCGTTGCCTTCACCTTAAGCTTCCTGCTGGGCCTGCTTTCAGTTGCAGTCGTAAGCCACAAAGCGGTCGCAGGGAGAACGGCTGTACATGCGTGGTGGTCTGACGAACTCTCTCTTGCCGATTTGGCAGGCTGGTTGCTGTGATCGTTGAACCGTTGCCGGAAGCTTCATTCATGGCCCTAACAGAAAGGCTTAAGAGGCGAGCACCCGTGCCGTCCTTCGCTACAGCGACCATCACCAAACATGGCTCAGCTGGGCAGAGATTGGCACAGGAAGTACAAGCGGTGCCGAGCCCTTGCAGAGCGACTGGGCCGCCGGACAACACCAGCTACCCGTGGAAGGGTCGAAGCACTCGACCGAGCTCAAACTGCCACAGGTGGCGCTTTCAGAGACAGAGCTGATTGGTGCTGCTCAGTTGACAGAAACTCCTGCAATTGAAGGTTGCGATGGATTTCAACACATCCTTCGCTTTGCCTCTCCGCACCGTCAAAGCCACCGGAAACATAGAGCTTGCCGCAAAGAGTGGCTACTGCAGGATGACTTCGCCTGTCAAGCACAAGCAAAACTACGAGTGTCATCATCGTGATCGAGTTGCGACTGGGGACTCTATGACTATGTAACCTCCACAAGCCTTAACCGGCCCTGAAACAGATCAGACCGGCCCGCCTCGGACATTACAGAAAACCACTCGCGAACAATTGAACAGTAGTCGATCAAGAATCTGCAGAAAGCAAATCCGGGGCTGAAAACCGGAAAGCCTTCAAGCAAGCTGAAGAAACACTAGAATACAGCAGAAAGCTGAAAGCTCGGCAGGTTCTTCTCAGCTTTCTCTGCGTCAGAGTGTGCCCAAGGGCTTGGCATGTCAGTCAAGGTTTGTTGAGGATGACGTCAAGAGTCGTCAAGACTTCTTTCAGATACTTTCAGGCTCATGTTTAACGTCATGAAAACTGGATAGTTCAGATTCAAGATTTTCGAGAATTCATGTTGAGGCTCACAGTACCTCCAATGCGATACGATCTCCTGTTCCAAAGGAGTTATTTGCTTTGCTCTGCAGTTTAACATTTTTGAAGCGTCCGCCAGGCCGACAAGATAACCTCATTGCATTGCCTCTCGAGCATCGGCGGCAACTGCTCCCAACAGCCGGCAGCGATGTTGTAGCCTAAATGAGGAGGACAGTCAAACAAGTGGGAGCGTCCAGGTGAGTGCCGCTTGGAGTCGGGCGCTCGACTTGGCTAAGACGGTGCCTGAATGAAAACGCTGCATAGACTAGACCAGTATGACAACCATCTTTCTCCCAGAACTGGGCTGGACTCGTAATTGGGAATCGAGACAATATATGAGGAACGGAGCATGTAGGTAGTTAATTCAAACTGATGCTTCAACTTTGGAAGGGGTGTATCTATCACGATGGTGCGGTCAGCCAGGCACTGTCGCAGATCAGGCACTCCCCGTCCCAGCCGCCGCAAACGTACAGCTTCCCGGCAACTACGTCCGCTGCCACCTTAGATGTGATATGACAGGCCCTCGTTGCAGTCGGCCGTCTCTCCGAGGCGACGGCTACAGCTCGTCGATCGGACATCGGAGGAAGTGGCTCCCAGCAATCGCCGAATGGTGCCTGCACCATGCCGCATGCCATGCCGCATGCCATAAAATGCCATGCAATGCCATGCCAGCTTCAGTGCGAAGTTGCGAAGCTGCACTATGGTCGTTGGGGCCACGGCCAAGCGCTCGATGGAGAGCAGGCGGCGCTGGCCGTCCTCTGAGCTATGGCCGGAGCCATGGCCGTGGCCACAAAGGCAATGAAGGACGCGTCTTTTCTTTCTCAGCTCCCAACGTAGCCGCCGTGGACGTAGATGTGTCCCGGGTATAGGGCTCGAAGAGCTGGCAGCCTCGACAATCGGCATTTTGCCGAAGTCTCGGAGAGCATTCCAAGGCAGCGGCACTTTCTTCACTGGCCGGCCCACCACCTGCACGTGCAATTCCCGCATGACGCGCCATCATGGAGCTGAAGCTCTGGAAAGGACACGGGATTCAGTCGCTGCCTTGCTGCAGGCCGAAAGTGCCAAAACCTGCTAAACTTTCTCGCAGAAATGCGCAAGAGTGTGCAAGAGCTGCAAGAACTCAGAATTGAAATAGCCCTTTCCACACGTCCAGTTCCTCTACGGCGCCGCTGTAGACGCCCATCCCGAAGGCCAGTCCGTCGCTGGTGGTCAGCACATCTACCTTGGAGAGATGCTTGAGAGGCAGACACATGGAGCGGAACGGCAACTGTACTGGATTGTACTGTCTTGCTGAGCACCTGGCAAGCTGCACGCCTGTTTCCCAGGGGTGAGCTGCCCTTGCCGCCTCAAAGCGCCGTCGGTGGAGCTTGGCAAGGAATCTCGCCTTGGTCGCAATGCACCCTCACCGTCGGACGTGCTTGCAAGAACACGAGCCGCACAGTGCGCTTTCGTCATTTTTTTGCACCGGCAGCCAGGCCTGCAAGGCATGCATCACATGTCAAACCATGTCCAGATGTCTACGTGGGTTCCGCAAACTCGGCCTCTAGGGTTTCCAGAATCTCTCCGTCACCAGGGTGGAGCTCGCGTGATCCGGATGCATATTGGCGTGCCGTGTCTAGGCACCAGCGGCTCATTCGGCTGTCGTCCAACTCCATGAACCAGCCTTGGCAGGTCCGCAAATCATGGGTCTGCAAGAAGGGTTTTTTATTGGAAACGGAGACGCTGCGAGGTGCGTGTACTGAGTGTGCTGCTGCAAGTTCTGCTGTGGAGCCACACTTAAGAGTGTAAGTAAGGCTCGGGCACATGCAGTACTTCGGCTTCATTGGCAAGATGATTCCATGCTCATCCACCGCCGCAGCTGCATCTCGAAGCTCCTCCGCAGCTTCTGTGAAGTACACTTCTTTGATTGGCTCTGCTGCACCGATTTCACGCGATGCTCACAAACGGCTGCTGAGTTGGGCCAACCAACAGTTCACTCGCGTACGCAGCTCTGACGGGAAATCCGTGGCACTGCGCAAAGATGCGCAAAGTGCATGCCGAGACATCTTGGACATCGTAGTTAGTAGGCGCTCTCAGTCGCTGTGGTCGGAAGAGGATTGGGTCGATGCAGCCACATCCAGGAAATTCTTGAAGGCCTTGTCCCTGTCTGCGTCGTCCGTTGCATCAAGCAGCTCCTTTGCACCCATGTAGCCAAGGCGGGTGGATTAGGGGTGGGTTCACGCAGTGTCCGCCAAAGATCCTCGCACGAGGCTTTACTATATCGAGTCGTGAAGTCTTCCGACTTCCTGATAAGCGCGGGCTATTGTCGATCTTGATTTGCCTGATCTACTTACCTGCTGCCCGTATGCTCGCGGGTCCTAGCGAACAGGTCTGTCCTGTACGCTTGCGTTGGAAAGACGGACACTCGCGTGTGCGTGTGTGGCCTACTTAGTTCACGATAAAGGGATTTCACACCCTTGACATTTTTCTGCGGGGGCAAGGGGTGTGCGGCAGCTCCGTGCATCGAAGCTCTCCCGCACGAAAACGTTCGCCGCGCGGGCAGCTGAGGTATGCATGGTGTCAGAAGGAAAAGTTGAGATTGACTTCAAAGAGCATCTGTGACACAAATCAAATCGAAGCACATCTTACCAGTCATTCAGTTCAGTTTCATGGCCTCTGTTTTTAGCGCTATTGGCGAAGCTTTTCAACAGACCTGTGGTACGTCCAAGAATGACGTAATTAGCCCGATTCTTCCCACATGCGGGTGGCGTGGGGGGTGGCGTAGCATGGGGCGTGGGCCGTGGGGTGTGGGGCGCGGCGAGGCTCGGCGCGGCGTCGCGGGCATGCGGGCGCACGGGCGGGCGGGCAAACAGACGTTCAACGTATACACACGAGACTCTTTGTGCTAATGGGGTCTGCCTGTGCAGGTGCCTACAGTATCTACATCTTCGCGAACCGCGGTCTACCAGTTGCAAGATCTCCTTTTCATGCTACACTCTGTTCTTGTGAACCTTCTTTCACACTAGTGAGAGGAGTGTGCATCAAATTCTTTTCCCGAACTTGTTGAATCTGGGCCTTGTTCAAATCCAAGACATCCGCAACAGACACCTCATCCTCTTCCAGTAGTGCCCCAATCGTGGAGATGTTGCAGCTCACCTAGAACCAAGGAAGGGCCGAAGTGAGGCTGACTTGTCCGTGTCGACTGTGCCACGCCTCCAGAGCAGAGTCCAACAAGTAGCCATTACTTGGACATTCGTCTACTTGGTCGGAGATCTGCGCAGAGATTCTGACAGGCCCATCCCTGATAGCCTGGCGAGCGACAGGCTTCCCACGAAGCTCATGAGGTTTAGTATCGCAAACTAACTCTGATGTAAGCCTGCGTGATGTCCAAATCCTCGAGGGCATGGTAGCGAATGTCCTGCAAACCAGTCCGGAACGGCACGCCAGACTATGAAATACTTTGACAAGCACAAATAAGAACAGTCTTGCGAGCAGGCGTCCTTGGGGGAAAGGGGCTTTCCATTGTACGCGCTTCGACATGGGTTCTTTCCAAGCTTCGCCTGCGACAGCACCTCAGAGCTCAAGCGTGCAGTGTGCACTCTCCGCAGCTTGAGAACGCCGCGCTTGCCTCTTTGCCGGCGACACTGACACTTAGGAGCTCCTCAGCGCCGTCCAAGTTGTCGAAGTCTGTCTGATTGACCCAAAGCTGCGCCACGCACCTTGACAAGAATGGTCTGCGCAGCGTCTGATAGTATTTCAAGCTTCTGTTTAATCAGGTGGCCTGTTGATTTGCGCCAATGTCCGGTTGAAGTTCAATATGAGGGAGGTGGAGCATCCCTTCTCTGCACAACGCAGTGCTCCCTGAGTGGCCAGGTTGGTTGGCCGGTGGAAAGGGAATCTTGGCCGGGCTTGGCCGTGACCTGGGCCGCTGCCCAGCTGCGCTTCCAAATGCCTTGCAGAGGATCCGTAGTAGCCCGAAATCCCGAGGCTGGCAGGCAGGGGCGGCCTGTCCGACATGTTGCTCAAGTTGTAGAAGGAGCTGTAGCCCGGCATCTCCTCGATCGACTTGCCAGGATGCTCCGCCAGCCACTTCTTTACGAAGTCCAAGTCCTCAGGTGAAGCCTGTCTGCTAGACGCCCCAGATGCACCAGCCACCGAACTCTCTGCAACTGTGGTAGTGGTAGTGGTAGATGTAGTAGTGAGATCCGCAAGCTTGCCAACATGACACTGTATGGTGGTAACACCATGCAGCAGGTTACCGTGGTATGGACATTCATCTACATTTCCAGGAATCTCTGCGTCCACTCGAAGTTTTCCCTTGCTACTTATGACAGTGTCCACCGGCAGGTCGTTGATGCAGGTAAAGAGCAGCTCGCGGGATGCTTTTGACACGCATCCGTTCACCAACGGGTAGCAATCCCCACCCATTGCGCGACCGTTGGCCAAAAAGTTGGCCACCCGCTCCCCAGCGAAGTTGTCATCGAAGTCTGTGGCGTGAACGGCCAAACTTAGGTTGCAATCCCGTGCATATTCCTGCAACCAACAGACGGAACAAGCAGACTTCAGTTGGGAAAACACGAGCATGCCAAGCCCTTGAAGCAACCAGCAAATTCGTTAACCCTGAAGAAACCAGCAACATGACACAGATTAAAGCAACGGTGTAAAGTCGAACACATTGCCATGCCCTGATGCTAACACCGGTGCTTTGTGCAGGCTCCGAAAGAAGGCCCTTAAGGTGCTGAAAGCTAAAGTATGAGTCCCTTCAAACCGCTCCGTCTCAGGGTCGTAGAGCTGCAAGGTAACGTTTGCTGCGCAGCCAGGCTTGGAGCACGTGAGATTGCCCAAGACCGCACGTTTGTGCAAAAGACCTTCCGTCTGCTCGGCCTTCGGCGACGGGGTGGTGGCCTCCCCGAAACACAATGCTGACATCGCAGTCGTTGGGCGACGTTTTGCAACTGCAGCGCATCAACATCCTGCCTCGAGATTCGTTGAAGCGTCGCTGATACTTGGCTTTTGGTTAACACGCTTCTGCACCTCGCGATCAGCCCAGTAACGACCTTGCAACCGAGACCAACCTACGTAACGCTGCCTCGAGGTTTTCCGATACTTTCCCCTGCGCCACACTGAGCGTGGCTTGCTGTCTTTGCGGTCGAAGACGAGGATGGGGATGCTCGGGCTCCAAAGCCTACGCCAAGGCATTGCAGCAACGGGATCTACTGCCTGGACTGCAATCACATCAATCAGGCAGTGTCAGAATGTTCATCTAGGCATCACCGCCAACAGATGCTCCCACTAGAAGAGCAGTGTCAGTAGATATCTCGAAGAGGCTTGAACGAATCTGGTTGTTCCTGCACTTCCTGCCTCCGACGGCTGGATCGCCTCCAAGGCATAAAACCACGCCGCGTCGTGAGGGCTGGCTACGGCCTGCTGTGTCCTGAGGGTGCTGGCACTATGGAAGGCAGCGTGCTCTGGCAGCTTGTCTTGCTGGTCCTCCGGAGCTGTCCCTCCACTTGCAGCAAGGATTGGGCTTCTGCCCGCAGCAGCGGCAGCAGCAAAAAGGAAGCCCAGGCCATGAGGGGTGTATCACCTCCCAGCGCAGACAGCAGCACGCTTTCTAAAATGCTCACATGCACCAAGCCGATACGACGGATCATCAAGTCGACATCGGGCTGTCGGAACATGTGAGAACAGACGTGCCTGGCCTGGGGCAAGCAAGGTTCAATACCAAATGCAATAACACATAGCGCTTACGCGCATTCTGTTTCGTAGAGCCGAAACTGCTGCAGAAGCTGTCTATACTTTTAGATCGAAGCGTGTCATGCAGACATCGGAAAAGGTCAGCCCGAAGAACCTTTCCGATGCGGACCCACCAGGTCTCCTGTTGCTTGGAGAGCTTCTGCCGCAGCTCAAGACAAGCTGCCGCAGCAAACTCTTCGTCGCGGTGGCCTTGGGATTCATGTGCCGGGCATCTCGTCGCGTTGCGGCTTCTTCAATTTGCATCCGAACATGTCTCCTTCACCTCAGAAGAAGTCCTTGAAATGTCAGCTCGCTCTCTCTCTCTCTCTCTCACTCTCTATGTGCTTGCCAGGCACCCCACAACCGCTCAGCAAGAGCTGGACACTGGAGAGCCCTGTCTGATGTGGCACTGCGCTCAAGCGCGAATGCACCTGTTGCATACCGCTCTACCTGCGACACTTCTATGGGCCATAGTCAGCAGGGGGTGATCCACGATGTGTAGATCAATGCTGCCCGGCGTCTCCGCAGAGCGTCCTCAGACATACGCCATGCGTCCGGAAGCGGCGACTGTGGCAGGACGTAGAAGTCCGAGAAGTCCATGAAATGAGTGCAAGCAGCGTCGGCCTTCACAGAACTCGTGACCCGTCTAGGTCCGATAACTTGTGAGTATGAGAGGCCTGCACCTTCAGGAAGCTATGCTGATCTGTAGAGTGCATAGACTTGCTTTTGACATTCCTCATCACCTGAACTTCTCAGAAATTCTCCAAAAATGGTGTAATATAGGCGTCTTTAAAAGAGCCAAGACGGGATCTTATGGGATCTTGTTTGGCCACATGACATGGACTGAGTAAACAGTCAAGTAGTCAAGGAGCACCTAGCAGTCCAGCCCCACATACCCAGTCATACCCAAGTATCATTCCAGGAGCATCCATGCATCCAAAATGCGCACCACGCTGAGGTGGGTCTGTGGCGGGAAGACAAGTGGCACCCCAAAAAACGCACGGCACGACGCTTGCGAATGCGGCACCATGCGACGCCTCACCTACCAGCCTCAACGAGCCGAATAGTGTGGCCCTGCCTCGAGTCTACAGACTGCGAGTGACTTGAAGGTCAACTGAGCCTACGATTTCCACCCGAAATACTCGCATCCCAGAACATCACCTCTCTAATCACTTTAAACCTATCGTAGGAACCCCATAAGGTGTTACCATGCTCTGAAACACTTTTGACCGCAGATACCTCAACGCGCGCGCGGGTTGGGAAGTTCCGAGGTGCATGGCCTTCGTGTGCGAAACTTTACGGCAGATACGAAGATGATTTGATCCCCGCACCCATTTCGCATCAGTGACGGATTCCGGTGCAGAGAAACCTCGAGAAGACTCTTTGCCCTGCAACTCGCACGAAGAAATGATTGCGAAGTAGTCGCTGTGGCATCCGTTCCGCTCAGATATTGCAGCTTCCGGGCCTGCAAGTTCCATGTTCCACTTTGGTCACGAAGAAGTGCCTCAGGCAGAGCATCTGAAGTCGCAAGGAACAGCTTCTGCAATCGGAGACATGGACCGAATGCCAGGACCTCAGGATCGGATGTGAATCCGAACAAACACGTGTAAGCTGTTTTGCAGCCGTAGCACCTCATCTTCTGAAGCATCAGTCCCATGGAAAACGGCTCGCGGCTCAAATTCGGCAGAGACTCCCCAGCCTCAGCCGCTTCCACCAGGAACCATCAGACTTTCTGCACAAGTCACTCCGGGCTCTCTCCAATAGCCCAACTTCTACACACTCACCCCTGCCATGGCAGACTCCGATCTGTGTATCCACGAGCAGGAACGAACGGCTGACCAAGGAAGGGTTGAGAGGGGGACAGTGACAGGACGGCAAGAAGTAGCAATCAATGTGGCCCTTGCGACTGTCAGCTTGCAATGGAACCGGGCTGATGCCGGCATTTTCGAGCTTCTGCTACTGTCCATATGCGGCATGCAGCCGTGGAGCACCCGGCGCAATTCCCGTCCAAGACCCTGAGAATGCACGTCGTCCGGGCAAACGCCTGCAGCTCGGGTGCAGCCCCTTTAGTGTACCTTATTTTGTCTGACTCCCCGCTGCATGCTCTGGCATCATCAGTTCCAGCTGATACAGCGCTCTTTCTTTCGCAAGTGTAAGAGGAAGGAGAAGACCCCCCTCCCCTCCGCGCTCCCGGTGCTCCCATGTGGAGCTCTCTATTTCCTTCACAGGACTTACGGGTGAGCGCCCGTGTGGAGGCACGCCATTCCGTTGGTGGCATGCTTGGCTTTAGCCGTGTTCACGTTTGTTCGTGTGGGATGTTTGGACCACGGTAACTGCTCAGCTGAAGACTGCACTCACGCGCTCTCTCTCAGTCTTTCTTTCTGCCGGGCTTGGGGTCGTCTGGCGACCCTGAGTCTCTCTCGCGCCCCGGGGATGGGGGACAGTCAAATCTCCCGGGCTTCTAGCCCACCCGAACTCTTTGAACGGGATTTGGTGAGTGACAAGCGAGCCTAGTTTATTGCATAGGCTTTGGCCTTAAAGCATGCGGTAGCTGTTCACAACAACCGTACGCTCTCGATAACATGGACTTCCGCAAAGGATGTTTGCATACGGCGCTGTACAACTCAAATGACAGCGTTACATATCTGTCTTGACTTTACAAGTGTTTGTCAGGGACGGAAGCAGCACAATTGCTGCCCCAATGAGGAGGATATTGGATTTCTACACAACGCCATAAATCCCCCGCTGTTTATTCTTATACTTGTACTGTCTGGCATTGGGAGCTGAGTAAGACATGTTTGAAGAACTGAGCCTAAAGATACATGGACAAGGCCGGTGCTCCCCCATTGCCATGTTGACAGCGGTGGTGCCTCAGGGCACAGTCGCATGAAGAAGTGATTCTCATCGCCTGAGTTTGATCGAAGCTCCGCAATCCGCCGACCCCGCTTGCTGGGTCGAGCGCCAGGGAAGGCCCTCCCTTCCCTTCCTTCCTTGCCCCCCCCTCCCCAACACGCAAAAACCTTCCTAATGCTTGCCCTCCTACCCTGCCCTTTTCACCCCACCTAGCCACCCCCCCAACCCCCATACCCCCCAGCTTGGATTACTCTTTTTGCACCGTCTTGAAAATGGAGTTCTTTGCATCCAACCGTACTTACGCGCACAAAGCTGGCAACATCAGGGGGTTTGTGACATTCTAGCAACAGGCAAAGGTTCAAGATCACTCATGCCTCACATGCCCACCGAAGCTGATTTTCCAAGGGGCAGGCAGTTTGTGACAGCATCGATTCGGTGAGAACATCATCATATAAAAAGGCCCACCGCCGGCGACTCGAATCGTGACTGACTCGGCATGTCCACTTCGCAGACCCGTTTTTCTATTGTGAAGAGTCAAAACCACCGCGGAGTTGTTGTGAGCCATATATGAAAATCCGAAGCCTTCAAAGACAACCTCCGCGCAAGACGCCATAGAACCCGAGGAGGATGGAAAATGCCAAGAGGTGATTCTCCATCCAGCTAATGCTTGCACAAGATGTTCAGGCAAAGGAGGAGCCTGGCAATGCTCCTCCTGCCAACTCCAAGTTTTCACACCTCGACATCCGTCCACCACTGACCCTTGAACTTCGCCAACATGCTGCTGCTGAACACTTTTTGGGGCGCAAAGGAATTTGGAGTTGTTGGTACAGCCGTCTCAAAGCCAGAACTACAGGTGAACTCCCCTTGCAGGAGTGTAGCTGTGTGCCGATCCACTGCACGCAGTTCGTCAAAGTTGTCGAGGTACAGTCGCCAAAGTGGGCTCCCTCTTGGCATCTCTTGGCCAAGGTTGATCCTTACGAATCTCCCTACAGCTTAGGATGTGGACTTCGGTTTGCACGCGCATGCCCAAACTTTTGCGAAAAGGCAGAGCTATCGCAACACTGTGCAGAAGCCCATGGGCAATACGCTGGACGTGATGAGGTAGATATGGCCATATCTGGGGCATAATTCCGATGGAACGCCAACAACCTGTGCCAGCATGAAGGCATACTAAAAATGTAGAAGAAACACCGTACATGTTCACGGCTCGTCAATAAGACCTGATCTTCGGGGAGCTGGAGACAGACACTGAAACGGTTGGACCATAGGCAATGTTTTGAGGTCCCCCAGGAACGGCCTGAACAGCGAGTTCAATGATATGAAATTCATGATGCGATGCATCACTTCCACATCGCTGCTTGTTTCGTGTTTAGACATGCCAAAGAGGCCCCCGGTCACCTTTTCAGCAGCATACTCAACAACACGGTCCCCCCGTACAAGCTCGCATACTCCCTTCGCCAGGAACCCCTGAACCACCCTCGGCCAATCAGTATCTCGGACTCGGACCATGACCTTTGGGGTAACATAAGAAGCACTTTCGTCCACAAACCACGGTGAAACTTGTACTTCCTCTCCCCCAGTACCTAATTGACTTGCGTTTAAAAATTCTTTCCATGCAAACGCCGGGAATTTTATCTTCCAAGCTCAACAAAAGCGAAAGTTCGTTGTGCTGCACCGCTCTGCTCAGTTGCTCTCTGTGCACGGGAACAATCATCTCTTCCAAAGAACGGCATCCATGCAAAAGGTTCCACGCGACAGCAGCAAGCAGCACGCATGCCGCAACACCCCTCTGTTCCTCGGAGAGCAGAACAAGTGCCAACGGTTCCTTTTTCCGAAGGTTTATGCCTGCCTCTTTGCAAAGGCTCCCGGAAAAAAGGCACAAGGCGGGCATCAAGACTAAGGCGAACTCTGCCAAAGTCTCTCCCTCCAACTCCCGTCCAAAGTTTTTAAACATGCGAGCACTCCCAGTGTCAGGAGGCCTGCAATGCGTGTTCTGGCTATCCCACGCTTTCAACTGCTTCAAACGAACCTGGGCGGCCCCAACGCTAGCAGGCGAGTCGGCCCGTCCTCCCTTCCGCTGAGCCGAGCAAGTTGTGTTTGGGAGCGAATCACGCTGTCCGGATTCAGGAGTGAAAGGAGTCACAACACGCTTGTACGACAAATCGGCTCTGAATGATTCGTCCGGCCTGGTTCTGTCAAAACTGTCGGAACTGCTATGCAAGATGCCTGGTCGGCCTGGCCACCTCGCATCGCCACTCGGCTCATCACATCCGTAGGGCTTCTAACCAACATGCTGTCAGGAGTGAGATTAACTCGGGCTCCCTTAGCATTTGGCTTGGTCCCTAGCGATTCAACCGCATCGGGCCAGCTTTTGAGACAGCTTGTTCTCCTTTTCTGCTTCCTTTCTCCGGAAGATCTTTTGCGATCCTGGCCCACGGCTTGCCTTTCCCATCGCCCTTCCATGTGGTCTCCCTGTGAGGATCGTCCGGCCCCCGTCTTGGATCCCACGCTGGCCGCTTTACCTTCAGCTCTTCTTTTTGCTCCTTCTGTGCGATGCGAACCTCCTCGAAAGAAGTCTGGGTCCACCTCAGGAAATGCACGGGGCGCTCCCCCGGTGGAACGTCCAGTGCCTGCGCCCAGGAAGTCGCCGAGGAACTCCTGACCGGATCTTCCTGGTCATCTTGCTCGAAGGTCAGGGCTCCTCGGTGGCTTCGGTTTCGGCTTCTGCTGCTGCGGCTACGGCTGTTTCTCATGGGTCTGTCACCCATCACAAAGTGCGAGGATATTATTCGCGGTGTCCCTGCCACAGTCTCGACCGTGACGTACTTATAATCCCCGCTCGAGGATGTCCCCCCGGAGAATCGTCTCGAAGAGATCCGAGGTGAGTCGGCTTGCCGATCCCGTAGGCGCCGTTGCAGGCAATGTCCCCAAGGTTCACGGCAGCAGAAGAGCGTCCTCGATGAAGAACGTGAGGATTTCCCCCCTCGTGAACAGCGATCGCGAAAGGCTCGGAACGAGGAGAAGCGAGCATTGAGTGAGAGCAGCCTTGAGCCAAAATGGCTACCCTTCATCTTTCTTTCGTCAGGGCTGTGGGCAGGGAGGAAGCCCCCTCTATCTCTCTCTCTCTCTCTCTCTCTCTTTGACGGGTGAGTGGAGGCGGGTTGGGGTGGATGGCGGTGAGTGGCGAGTGGAGTGGTTTTGAGCACATTTGAGGCGCGTCTGTGTGAGTTGTGCAGTGGAGGCAGAAAGGGTGAGGGTATGCACTAAACCACCTCAGCATAGCAGGGGCCTGAGAAATTCATGCCCTGGTAAGAGTCGAAAAGCCGGGACTGACGTCGTCTGACCTGGGTCTGCATCATGCGCGAGTGGTAATGTTCCAACCTTCCTTGGATTCTTTTGCCTTTAAGTCAAACTTCAATGGAACCAATAGCTTAGTCAGTGCCGGGCCACCAGCAGGACGCAGCTTTCACCAGTCCATCCCGTCGCGGGATTAATGCCACAGTAAACTAAGCCAGTGTCAATGATCGCGTAGTAGGGAACGGTTCCCATCACCTGACGTTTATGTCTATATGGACTCGACACTTCCAGCATGTTGCTCACATGGTGTTGCATGTAGGATGAAACGCGCCGCAAAGATCTGGGTCTCATGCGTCGCTGAGGCCCTCCAGGTCCAGAAGCCGCTGCACTAAACGCTGGAAGGCCAGCTCCCTGTCATGACAACTGTCAACCCTCTCGACTCTCGCTCTCAGATGACCAGTCGTGAGACTTGACCCAAACTGGCTTTCGGTGATTTCGCTTGGAGCTTCGCGGACTGCGCAAGACTGGGAAACCGCCATGTTTTCGTCATGACTGCTTGGAGCTTCCAAACATCAGTGTGTCTCTTTCCGCAGGACTATATCAGTCTGTCAAGTCCGGCTCTCTTGTTTCCATCTCTCCTCGGGAAGGGCGACCTTTCTTCCTTTCGAGGGCAAGAGCCCGTCCCATCATGTCCACGCTGCCTGCGCTAGGGCCGCTAGGCACACCTGCTTGCCCTTATCGGCCTTCCTCGGCCCTAGGCACCACCTGCATCTACACTCCTTCTTAGATTCCTGGCTAGCTCAGCGATATAACATGGAAACTCTCGCTCATGCTCATCAACTGCTGCACTTGCTTCCAATATTCATCTCATCGCAGGAACAAAAAGTAGCTCGAATAAACCCAAAGACTGGCCCTCAGTTCCTCTGAGCGAGAGGTTCGAGCCTCAAAGCGTCGGCGAGGCCAAGCAAACCCGTCACCTTCTCCGAGGAGATGTCGGCCATCACGTGGGTACCTAACATGAAAGTTTCACTCCGAATCGTGCTGTCAACATGAGTGCCGCTCGCTTCAGCGGCAGGCAAGGTGCCGATGCCCTTCACATCCAGCATGTCAGCTTGAAAATTGCCCTCCTCGTCAATGCCTGAGACACAGAACAAAGACTGAACTGGGTTGATTGATTCACATTGACAGGGTGCTGCCCTCTTCTGGGTGTCTGACCATAGCGATCGCCCACCAGAAAAGTGGCTGCGCGCCCACCGCTCCGCACCTGCAAGCTGGCTACTGCTGCTGCTGCTGCCGAATCTCTCAACATTCGAGCTGCCAAGGTGCTCGCAAAGCAGAGCGTGAGCCGCCCAGGATCCCTGCAGATGCGCAACGACCCTTCACAAGTACTCAGTCTGGAGCTCAGCGCCTCAGTGCTTCCAATCAGAAACTGCAGATAGTCTTGCAGCGCACAGAGGCATACAGCCTTTCGAAGAGATGAGGTGGTGGTGATCTCCGCCCTCGTCCAGCCGCTGAGCCTGCCCCTCCGAAAGCCAAGCTGCTTCCTGCAGACTCCGGAGGAGAAGCAGCCGGGCACAGCAGCAGATTGATGCTACTTACTGATATGAATGATGAACGCGAATTCTTGAGATTGGTCTGCATCGCTGCGTTGGGTCCATGGGGCCTGCTTGCCGTGGGTTACATCAACGTCTTGGATGAGCGCAGCCTTCGGGAAGGAGCATCACTGTGGGGCATGATCAGCAAGTTCGGGCTATCGAACACCTGCGCAGTCGGCATATCGGGCAAGGCCCTCCATGTTTCGCTTGATGTTCGGCGCGATGCATCCAGCATCATCGTCACGCCATGCTACGCACGGAAGTTTCTGAGTAGACTGCACCCTGCCGAGATTTGCCGAGCCCGACCATGTAAGTGTGTGCCATCTCCTCTAGGAGCCATGCATCCACTTCGACATTCGACTTGCCTTGCAGCCATCTCGCAAACGCGCACGCAGACACGACTCGAGTGCTCGCACTGTGCGAATGAGCTGCCTTGCAAGTCTCGGAAGTGCGACCGTAGAAGTGAGTAGTCTGCGGCCAAGACTTTGCCGTCAAGACGGCGGAAGCCGCCTTCGAGGCAGTCGAAATCGTTCATAGCCTCGGCTTGAAATCAGGCCGAGCAGAGTGTGAACAGGCGACGTGTTTCATCGGAACTATTCGGAACAAACGAGTGCCTTATATGAGTGAAAAAACCATCAATATCATCAGCTAGGATACGTTTCCCGCAGCATTCTCAAGCAGGAAGCCCGGCGAGAGTTGCTGCGGTATCTGACGCCAGAAATAGCCGTGGCCAAGCCAGTCCTCAATTTCTCGTTTAGTGCTGGCAGCCTTGAAGCACGCGTCCGCACGGATCAGGATCCCCAGTTCCAAATCGCACAATGGAAACTGCCCTACAAGGGACTCTTCTCTATGTCTTGTCGATGTATGCAATGGAGGCAGAAGCAGAAGCTCACTACGAAGCCAAACACATCCTGCGACTTCGGGAAGAAAGGTGAAACGCCAACGTCTCAACCCGCTGCATTATCGCAGTGTCTCCCCTGTCTAGCATGAAACCATGTGAAACCAAGACTGCTGTTTTGCCGACCGCCGCTCGATTCTCAGCATGCGTCTACATGCTGTGGCACAGAGCATAAGATTCTTTGGTCGGGGGCGTTGATAGGTGTCTGCTGGAGTCTCAAATCCGTGTGTTGCTTTCATACTGCTCGCTTGTTTCCGGCAATGAGTCTCTTGTTTTCCATGTTCCGTGACATCTTCGTCTCCCATATGCGAAGCGCGAGCATATTCCTTGTGCGAGCTGTGTTGCCTCAACATTGCAGATTTTGCGCTCGAAAACCAGATGGAAAGCCTTAGACTCATCAACCTCGGACAACCGCAAAGGTAGCTACTTGTAGAAGCTTTGATGAGGAACAATTTAAGCGAAATCATGCGAACTAGCTTCTGAACATCTTTATCCCTGCTATCGCTCTGGCAAAACCAAAGAAACCCACTTTCACCACCAATTAGCATATGCAGGACGGGTGGAGAGTTGGAAGAAACTGCAACCATGGATTTAGCACTTCCATGAAAATCTCTTTTCATGTTTTGGACAAGGCACAGGATCCCTGCTGTGCTGTCCGAAGGCCCACCAGCACAATGGCTCCTCGTCAGGGACGCGGAGCGTTCTGGAACGAAGTGAAACTGAACTCAGGACAAAGCCACGAGCCTCCACAAATTCACAGGGCGTCGCAGGGGGCAGCCTGGGTTTCTCTTAAGCCCCCATCAGATTGTTGCACCGAAGAGCGCCACCAGCACATGAAGCGAACGAAAACTCTTGCGTAACGTGCAGCACCTGCGTTTCAAGTGTCCCAGTGGCATGGCTGCCCCCATCTTCAGGGCCAAAGCCGACAGATCCTTCCTTCCAGGCAGCTGCCTTTGCCTCCCCCAAAACTTTGCGGCCCCGGCCTTGGCCAGGTCCCCTTGTCAACGGCCAAACGTACGGAGTGATTGTACCTCACATCCACATACGCAATTATCTCTATATTATATCTGTGTATATATATATATATATACACACGCTCTCTTCTCTCGCTGACGCTCTAGGCCAGGCTGCCAGGATAGCACCGCACGAATGCTTGAGCCAGCTGGGCTCAGGTCGGCGGCTGACGCCGCCAGCCTTGACACACAGCTTTCAATGTGACCACTGACCACAGTCTGCCACCGTCCATGGGCTATGCCATCATGCAGACAACAAGCAACTGCAAATGCTTACCCGAAGCCCCAGCTCGTGTCAAATCTTTTGGAAAACCCGCTGGGGCCAAAGAAGTGAAACTGCGCTACTGCATTCGGCATGCCCTGCCCGGTATTGCAGCCCCTCCAGCAACCCGCCTGTACGCTTCCAGCGCCTCTGGCAGCAACGAAGCTGCTGCACGTGCCTCTGCAGCGATCGAACCAGCCATGCCGCTGCTGCGCTCAGCCTGTCAGGTCGCAGAACGAACATACCGGAACTACGACGCCTGTGCACAGAGACACCGACGTCTTGCTGGCATGTGCAGACAAGAGCATTTCACGACATCAGCAATCTCCGTGGGAGCCTCGTCATAGATTCTCCGACGAGCCCGCCACACCGCCCTAGCCATGATTAACAGCTCCTCAGCACAACAGAGCCTGTATTTTGCTTTGAGGCTGGCGCGTCGTATCATTCGTATCTGGGGCGCAGGGAGTGGCTGTCACTGGGCATGACAGGAGTTCTGCTTGCTTGCGATAATTCAGAGCTACCACTTCCGATCACACAAGCGTATCCTCCTCAACCTCCACGCCCGCGGCTAGCTGCGATGGAAGCTTGTACACACCATCCTGCGCAGGACTCGTTTGAAAAGGGCGCCGCAGCGTCTCTTGATCACCCTCCCACCAAGCGCATCCTTTGGCTCCAGATGTGGCAGGGGATCTGCGTTGAGCCAGATCGGGTGTGCTTTCGGAGTCGGCACAGCTGGCATGCCAGGCATGGCTGCTCCATCGAAAGGGACTGGACCCAAGTTTTGTCCGGTGTCAGCTGCTATCGTGTCACAGTCGGACTTGTTCACTGAGTCTACTGCAGCATCACAAGCCGGCTAGCAACTGGGGGCGATTGAATGCTTCTATCACGTGTCACGCATCTGCAGCCTGAACGTTTCCTTCAAAGGTATGAAATAGTGGAGTGCTTCCACCATCGCATCAGTCCGACATGACTGTTGCTCTGCTGCCTGAGTCCCCAGCGACGCTCAGGGCGCCAACCTACCACAATCACACGCAAACCATTCGGATGGTCCAGCCTCTGCGGCGCCTCTGTGAGATACTCGCGCAGAGCTGTTGCCTCCTCTCGGCAGCAGGCCACCTGTCGGCGCTGCGGCATTGCGATGCATTGCGATTGGCAGGTGACTAAGGTCCACACCTCCCGCTGTAGCACGTCAAGCCTTGCCAGGAAAGGGGCTAACGAAGGTTGGACTTGAACAGCACCACAAACGTTCGCGCATGTCAGTGCGAGGCTGAACACGTGGTTAGCAATGTAGAGGCGGCTGCAGGCTATCTACCCACAATCTACATTGCAAGCTGCTACATGCATGAATCACAGCAACATTGCAGCTCATCCCGTCATCTGGCGAGGTGACGGAGATTGAGGAAGGCAACCCACATGCATCCAATGACAGCGTTCGCATCTGGCCTCTGATGAAGCGCATGGACCTCCGTCTGCAGCAATGGAGTGCTCCTTGGTCAAATTTGCACTGAAGGGAAGTGGGAATGAAGCGACAAAAGGATCCAAAAGGCTCCGGCGACGCGGATCTGGAGGCATCTCCAGTTCCGGTTACCATCGTGTGGACATCGTTTGCGGCGCAGCAATAAATACTGACACTGTCAAGTTTTCGGATGTTGTTGAAGGTGAGATGCTGCTGCAGTTGTTGGTGCCAAGATTGTGTTCCGTCGGCATCCCTTTCGAACCAGCTGAGACTCAACAAATGCCAGGCACGGGACTTGAAGGACGCAATGATGCTGTCAGGGGGCTAGACTTGCTTCTAACTTCCACGAGAATCCTAGATCACGTTGTGATTCGGCTCCCAGCGGGCAAGATTGCTTCGGCCATGGCGGTAACAGGTCCATCAATCCGCTCCAACTCCAGATGCTGGTTCAACCCATCGATTGCCCTGGCAGCGATTTGAACTCATGGAGCGAGCACAGTTGGAATGAAGACAGTAACCGCGCACACTCTGATGGCCGCCATCCGCACCATCCGAAAGCATATCGCATGCTCAGTCATGTCATGTCGCACACGCGTTGGTCAAAAGATGATTTGTTGCCGGAAAATCTTGATGTCGAAACTGCAGCACTGCTGCGTTTCTTCGTCAGCTCTCGCCTCGGACTGATGGGGCGCCCGCACGCGAACGCGCACCTGCGGTTTTCAGCTCCCCCAGAGGGGCTTAGCCCCCAAGGGCTCGGCTATGCACGGCCAGCAGATCTCAATACACGAACCCCCGTCTATGTCGCTCTCGCTCCCTCTCTTTTGACTCTTGTGCCTGTTCCTTGGTCGCCTCTGTCTCTGGAAGGGAGGTCTTCTTTCTGCCTATGATGATGTGTGCCACCTGCTTGCAACCACTTCCAACAAGACAACATGCTTCCGCGAATCAGTCGGATGCTCAACCCGCGTCGAGAGTCAGCTGTGGTTCCTTTTTTTCGTGAACTCCTCTCGTAAGCGCAAGCAAGGGCTTACCCTTGAGAGGGCGGCTTGCCCGGAAAATGCGGTTGGACACGACGTGCTTTGGAAATCATCCGGGACAGATCTGAGAAATCTTGGGAGACACTCGCGGGACAGAAACAGTCTTCGCGTTTTGCGTGACTGCAAGGGCGCTTTGGTTTTGGGAGACGGCAGCAAATCGCACCAAATGGCACTGCATGTGCGGCCCCTGGCTGTCTCAGCTCTTCGCTTGAACTGCTGTCAAGATTTCTTGACATTCCTTGCGAATCCTTCCAGTCTCGTGTAGAAGGCAGACCTGATGCGTGGTTGCCGCTTCGACATCCTACATGCAAGCGTGAGAAGAGCCAGGCTCAAATTGAAGCAAGGCACGATGTCGAGGGATTTAGCGTTCCCCCGAACCTTCGGAATGCCTTCGCAAAACTCCTGTGAGGCTAGGACGAGAACCCATGGCGGGCATTGCACGGGCTGGATGCAAGCAGCGACGTGAAAACATGGAGTGAGAAGTCTGTGACAGCCCCGGCACGGCTCAGCGCCAGGAAGAAGAGAGCGATATGTTAACTGATTTGAAATCTTTGTCCTGGACTGAGAGATGCCCATCTCCATCATCCAGAAGCTGGAAGAGCATACGGGCATCATGAACGTCAACTTCAAGCGTGCTCAGATAGTGTACGATCTCCTCAGCCCACAAGCTTGGAAATGTAACACTTGGGTGCAGTTGCAAAACGTCCGAAGTGGCGTGTCAAAACAAAGTAGATGCTGTTCGGTCTCGGGGTGCTTCACCAACCTCTCCCATTCAGCAAGTGACAGTGATTTGTCTTGATCAAGATCCGCATCTTCAAAGAGATGGGTCAACTTGGCCTCGCCCAAGGCCAGGTGACAGGACAGGAAAGCTCGCACGCAGTCATTGTGAAAGAAAACTTGACAGCTTGGATGCACAAGTTACGCATTGGATCCCTTCTAGTGACCTGCAGCTCCGCAGAATGTTGCAGACGCTCCAGGACAGCCGCGCCAGCATCGTTGGAGAGAGCGTGCAGAGTAGAACGAACAAACAACCTCGACCAAAAAAACAAATGAAGCAATATGCTCTGACTGATGGTCCTACAGCTGCAATGCACGTGGAGTCCTGCACCACAATGTGAGGCCAATGCTTGATGATGACATGTCCGCGTGGGCCATGATGATCATGAGGAGGCGGAGGATCACGAAGATGACCGCGATGACGATGATGAGAGTGACGACGACGACAACCATGGTGATGATGATGATGATGATGAGGATGAGGATGAGGATGAGGATGAGGATGAGGATGGTGATGGTGATGGTGATGGTGATGGCGATGGCGATGGTGATGGTGGTGATGGCAATCATGAGGGTGATGGTGATGATGATGGTGATGATGGTGATAATGATGACGATGGTGATGATGATGAT